ATTAGTCATTTTATAGGGCCGTTCTGCTCCGTTACACGCGTACGCGGCATTTGCTTGCGACTGATTTGTCGTCTCATCCCGACACAGGTCCATCGCTGAAAGACTATACGCTCATCGATTACAATTAATTTCATTATCGGTGTCCTTGTTAACAAATCTTGAGATCTTCCTTTTTTAATCGATCTTCTTGTTATTAGGAATTCAGGCATCGTGCAAGGGAAAGTTGAAGAGAAAAGGGATATTTTCAATTGATTTTAGGAATCGGAAGTAGTTTCTTTATTCTTTTATCTTGTCTAATATTAAAAATTGAGTTTGATGTCATGTCAGATGTAATGCGATTAATAAAGCTAACTAGGGTGTGTCATGTTCAAGTCTGATGTTGCTATAATAATAATTCGAACTGTGGCGTGACACAGCACAACTTATCATTGTGATGATAGCATATGTCTACATGTTTTTTTCAAGAATGTCTGGCGATATCGATTGTTTCATGCAGTTTCCTAATTTGACCAAAAACTGATTATAATCTGAAATACCTTTTTTGTAATGAATTTACGAAGTGCTCAACTTATTGAATTTTATGTGAAATATTAAATTATATTTATATTTTAGCTCGGCTTAATAAAACAAAAATTGAAATTTGTGTATTAATATTTGTGTTGAATAATTATGTCGAGATGAAAAATGTTTTAGAAAAATACGCTTGAGTGCATCGTCAATACTGAATTATTCTATATGTATTATTAAATGCATAATTGTAATGATGGTATAAGAACGGAAAATACCGAGAACAGTTATAAGGCCGCGTTAATGTACAAGGAGTTATATTTGACTTACTCAGCAACTTTTAGTAACCTTTACTTACGTTTATTAATTTCCTCGCTGTGCAGGCCTCATTATTCTTCAAGGTACGGTGCATACCTACAACTGCAATGTGATAAAAGACCTTCGCGCATTGCATTCCCATTATATGTTGTAAAGTTATTGCCGGCAAATGAATAATTCTTGAAACGTGGAGAGTTCTGTTCGCGAAAAATCTGTTTTCATTTTTCCGACGGAATTAAAAGGTTGTTACTTCCACCTAAGCGTGAGAGTTTAAATTAGAAAGCAATCGTTAGCTCCTAATGCATAACGTGAGAAGGACATTAGAGGCGGAAGAATCAGTCGGAAATAAGTTTCACAGTTTCGTCATTGCCGGCAACAGGAGCGCGAGGCGTGTAAGATTCTATTTGCGGTAGGCGAACGAGTTAACGGACGGGATGATCGCAAGGTTGTCCCCATGGTTAAAACTCAACACCATATATACACCGGGAGAGACCGAAGCTCGCGCTTCCTCCATCTATCATGCGAACCATGACAAACCGAGCCTCAAAAGCAGCCGCCAGCGTAGCAGCACTTTCTTACCTTCTTCACTTAGTCACCGGGCGCTCAGGTGAATCTCTACCTGTCTGATATACAGGACCCCCTATTCCGTATCTACATTTATTAACATTTAAGCGTTAACGACATTTCTCTCTCTCTCGCGCGCGCGCGCGCTTCAGAAGAAAAAGAAGTAAGAAGCCGTTGTCGGCTACTCGTATCTTGCTGCCTTCTACCTCGCGATTCCTCACGATTTAGACGCGGTTCTTTGTCTCGAAAATACTGCGCGAAATCGATTAAATAAAACAATCGTGGTGATTTCAGAAATATCTGCGCGGGCACAGGATGTTAATTAATCTTCCCCGGCTGCGAAATATTCGCGACATTGACTATTAACGAAACAATGTTGTGTAAAAGTTAATGTACATTCGTAGCGAATCATATTGAACGGAATGAAAGGCGCGAGCTACAGTTTTGATAGCAATGTGTGTTCCGGATCAAGGTGAAAGTCGTAGAAATCCATGCGTTTTATGCTAGGCGGATATCGAATGGAAAGCAAAGTGGCGTGAATGAGTTGTCCCTTGACGATCGTAAGATTTATGGTTGCGACGGTTGGGCGGAAAGGGCAAGCATCGCACGGCTCGGGGGCTAGTAACCCTTGACCCTGCAGACTCCGAAGTTCACCCTCAGTATGACCGCGATAGCACCGCTGATTGACGATAGAGATACGTTATAAAATGTTTTAACATATGCTTATTGAGATGTTCGTCTGAACGACAGGCGTTCGACATCTACTGGATGGTTGTCGCGCGGTCATGCGGACGTGATTAAACGTAGCGAAAGACTGTCACGTGCCTGAAAACGGAAGCGACGGAAGCGCGTGAAGCGCAAGAAGAGCGGTAAGAGCGCCGGGTTAAAACACAATTTTCTAGCCGTCGAATTTTTTTTGCCCGTCCGTAAGGCCTTTGGTCTTCGTCGGAGAAAAAGTTAATAGCTTGGAGAAATTAGCCGATGTGGGGAGGATCGTTGATCGGGGATCGTGTTTCGGGAGGGTGTTCTGCACAGATGCAACGATAGCAACAGTTCGGCCCGCTCGAACCGGAGGTCACATATGAGCTCGGAGCTATGGCGTCGTATGGGCTTGACTCACACGCATCACGCGTAGTCATCCATCATTGTCAGTCTCTTCACTGACACAGCCGTCCGTCCGTCCGTCCTACCAACGCGCGGGGCTCTCGATTTGAGTTTCTTTCGTCAAAGTTGTGATTTTTTACAAAACATAGTTCATACTTTTTACTGTTGTTATAATTGTTATTGTATTATTATTTAATAATGTTATTAGACAACAATAATCTTTTCGGGCGATACGCGTCGTGCACGGAACAGTTCCGAGTGCATCCTTCTTCTTCTCTCTCTCTCTCTTTCTCTCTCACTCTAAATACGATTGCGATAAATCAATTTATGTATGTAAGGGTTTCTGACGTAACAAATGGCGCGTAATCTCTGAATAGAATATAAAGTTGACACGGTATAAGGATGCTGCTAAGAATAATATTTCAGTTCGATTGGTCCGATATTCCGAGTCATCCATCATCGTCACTTTCATCGCCGGCATGGCAAACCGCGTCATCTACGATCAAAATTTACGCGTTCCGCCTCCGTTCATGGTCACTCCTTCGTTAAAGCTGCGATTTTCCGTATCATTCGCTGACTTACACGATGTTTTCCGATTCCATACGGCTTTCACCTGCGCTCTCAATCGCTGAAATAGTCAACAAGAAATTGCACGATTGAAACACGATGGAAAATGTCTAGTGAAAGAGAATAACAACACTTTTCTTTACTTTTCTCTATGACCTGTATTTGTCAAATGTATCGGTGAGTGAATGTACACGTGTGATAATTTTGTTTACCGTGTCAAGGGCTCACTTGCAACACAATTATATAGTCAGAATGGATAAACAATATACGGTTATCGTACGCGCATTATGTACATGAGAGTCTTTATATGAACAACGACGGCACCTAATATTTTATACAAAAAGGACTACGTATTAAATATGTTGCCGCGAGGTGAAAATTAAAATTATGTCCCTATCTACGTTTACTTTTATATTATCTATCGTGAGAGAGACAATAATTTATTTGGTTCGCTTAAAGTAGCGCTAGTAGAGATTAAAAAAGAAAAACGCGGTTTGTGAAAAAATGATAATGCAATCAATAATTAGTAGATATTAGATATAAATACATCTCGCGTTTGCGCGAGGTGCGGATTATCATTCAGTGTATTGCTCAACGATACCTAATATTCATTAGACGACATTATTCGCGATGTAGAATGACGCATAGATTTGAATGAATTTTGTTGAAAGCCTGTTTCATTTTTTCACAAAACGGATAGCGCAGATAACGTTTTTACAAGTGCATTTGTCTTTATTTCCGCAATAGTGACCAAATAACTGATTTAACTATTCTCCATATTCAATAGCAGGATTTTTTTTACAAGAGAGAGAGATAGACATCTATTTCCTGTGTTTAGTTAAAACTAACGGATTGTACCTATTTCACTTTTCAGAAGTTGTATACTCGGTATAGTAATTGTGACTGTGTATAAATGCGATTTTCTTATTCATTCGTGTTCCATTAATCTGTTTTTCACGTGATATATATGTACACAGCTTTATTGTTAATTATTGCTCATACATCTACAGTCTCATTTTATTTCAATATTTTAAATCAAATATAATCTCGTTATTGTGCTGATTATCATATGGAAACTGAAAATCTATAGATATGTAATTTAAAAACTTTAAAATTCTTTGTGCAAGATTTTCAAATTAAACTGAATGTTTCAACTTAGCGTTGCATACTGTCTATGCAAATTATTGAAATTATGTTGAAAACAAAAGAAAAGTTTCGATGAATTTATATATTCTAATTTTCGAACATACTAACAATATATTGTAGAGACCTTTCGCGGCAAAAAGATTGCACTTATGTCTCGTGTTTTCGTTCACGAGTATCGAGTCGTTGAATTAAAATTCCGCCGAATTTTCATTCCGCAACAGCGAATTTTGACGTATTTACAATATTTTTCATGCACATTCATGAGCCACAGCTCGCGTATATATCAGTCTAATATCACTTACAAATCACTCTTTATTTCCTGTGATTAAACGCGTTTCACATTGAAACAGTGGCGATGTGCATTCACTTTGAAATAGTTAAAAAAATTCTGGGGATAGGGAAACTCCGTTTATATCGTCGTCCCATGCGTTTAAAATTAACACAACCATTGCACTCGTTGTCACTGTCATATATTTTAATCATCCTTCAACGTTTGGAATGTATATTAGTGGAGTTACATCCTGTTCGACGGTAAGAAATATTAAAATTGATATTACTCGGATGTAATGATATCGACTGATGACGGGCGAGGTTAAAATCCGGGCTGTCGTTACAATTGCGAACAATCGACAATTTCTCCGGCATTAAATCCATACTACTTGCGATATGCTTGCAGTTGTTTGAAATCAATTTAAAACACATCTCTTTTAATATATACAACTATCTTATATATATATATATATATATATATATATATATATATATATATATATATATATATAAATCAGTCCTTATACCTCGATTTTTAATACAACCAGCCGCGAAAATAATTTCGACACAATTCGCGGATGGAATTACTTGGAACTGGAAAATACTTGGATAGCCAAGATTGAACGGAGAACTTACGTCTTACAGATGCACGCACTGTTAGCGATGTTCTTAGTTCCGTGTTAGTTTCATTTTTACACAATTTCTCATTTACACGTAGTTCTAAATCACGGGTGCTAAAGTATATACAAATCATGTAGACTCTTGCGCGGTGATCACGATGTAACCTCAGTACAAAGCATTGAGCAGGCACTGCTCGTCGCCCCAGTCCAACTGGCAGGAATTCTCAGTATCGTGAACTCAGCTGAGTTGGTAGTACTCGGGCGCGAAGTCGTTCGCCAGGTTGCTGAGAAAGTTGAAGTCGGACGAGCTGTTGCTGTTGTCGGCGGACGGCGGCGGCGCCGCGCTGGAATGCACCGCGGGTTCGTTGTAGAAATTCCCGTAATTGCCGTAGGACTCGGTGTTGCTGTCAGTCTGGCCGGCGCTTCCGGGCGGTGTGATGACCGCCGCGGTGGCAGCTGCGATCGCCGTCGCGGTCGTCGTCATACCGGGCGCCGGGAACGGATCGGGCGACGAGACGTAACTGTTCGGGATGTTGGAAGCCTCCCCGCCTTGATGAACGTGCAGCTGACCGGTCTGCTCGTAATACGCGCTCGGATGACACTTGTTCCCCGGCCGGTGATAGTCGCCGGAGCTAGGATGCATCGGCGGCTGATGCGTGACGTAGCCTTCGGCGGTGTGTTGCTGCGGGTGTTGCTGCTGCTGCTGGATATCGTTGAAATAGTGCTGGCCGGTCTGCACCGACACGGCGGCGTGGCCGTGCGCCGTCAGATTCTCGCCAGCGCCGTGATAATTGCCGCCGGTCGAGTAACCATAATTTCCCGGCGTCATGTAGCCGTCGGTGCCCTGCTCGTTCTGCGCCGCCGAGTATCCCTGACCGGAGTTGTAGGCGTTCGCACCTTGCATGCCCCGATGATAAGCGTGATAAGGCGGTCCGGCCTGGGGATAGCCGTTGTACTCTCCGGTGCTGCCGTATTGCAGCTGCTGCTGATGGAACTGCATGTTGGCGCCGTACATCGACCTCGACGCCGTGCCCGTCGCTCTCACGTGATGCGCCACTCTCGAGCTCACCGCCTGGTTCTGCCTGACGTACAGGGGATTCACGTCGCCGGGATAAGTGATCCTCGGCTGCTGATACGTGTCACGAGAGCAGTAATTGTTCTGCGACTGAGTTTGCGGCGACGCCGTAGGTATGGCCTGTCTGCTGGACACGCCGTTTCGATAATCGATGGCCGGTGTAGGCTGATACACACCCTGCTGCTGGAAATGCGTCTGCTGATTGTTCGCGATGCTACGACCGCCGTGAGGCGACATCGTGCCCGGATTAGCGGTGCCGTGCAACATCGGGCCCGTCAGCGAGCTCGTGGAGGACGGCGAGCTTCGCGGTCTTTGCATGTAGGCCGAGTGAGCCGCCTGCTGGATACCGAGGGGGCTGCCCTGCTGAAGCTGGACGGAAACGGGGGTGCCGGGTGTGGAGGACGGCGTGAGACTTCTCGTGGAATTCTGACCGGGCAGCACCGGCGTGCTGACCGTCGAATCCGGCATCGCCAGCAGCACGCCGTTGCTGTTCACCGAACACATGTCCTTCGTGTTGGCCGACGGCGATTTCTTACTCACTGTGATCGGCTGCTGCTGCTGCTGCTGTTGCTGCTGCTGTTTCGCGGTGTTCGGACTTTTGTGACCACTCTCAACCTTCACTCTCACCTCGCTCGACAATTTTTTCGTCAAGCTCGGTGATGTCACTTCACTTCCATCCTGCGATCTCGAATCGTCGTCCACTATCATTTTCTCGAATGAGCTGGATACACTGTTGGTACTGCCAACGCTACTGGCACCGTTGCTGTTCGTATTGAAACCAGGATTACTGTTGCTGTTGTTGTTGTTATTATTGTTAGTCGCGCCGGGTGTATTATTGTTATTACTGCTTCTTCGACCGGAAGGGCCCAATTCAGTAACGTCGCCAGTGAGAGTGCTTCCAACATCGCCTACGCCCGAAATATCACAGTTATGACAGCTCTTCTTCTCATCGCTATCCGTAGATAAGATTTTGTCGCTCTTAGGCTTCTCCATGCCGTCCGAAGTAGAACCGTCCTTCTCGTCGCCGTCCTCCTTGCTGAGCGTTTGCCGCTTGTGTTTCATTCTCCGATTTTGAAACCAAACTTTGACCTGAAAGCAGAATAATGATGTCCATTTAATCATTTACTTTTTGGTTATTAAAAATTTGACAATGCAAAATGTGATGAATTTTCATCGCATAATAATAAGAGAAATATTTTAAAATGCTTTTAAATTACATGAAAATTGCATGAAAGTGTTAAAAAACATTTATTTATTTTATTCTTTTAGTACAATAGATTTTTTTAGAATATATGCACTGACAATTGTGTTTTAAAAAGTCAATGATATGAATGTTTAGACAATTACTCATTCAAATGCAGCTTACGTTCAAGATTGCTTAATCTAATTTCTGCGATTTGATTAAACTGATATTTCCAACGTGATAAATCCGTTGAGAAACAAATAATGTAACGATATAATGCTTTATACATAGCATTAGCTGTTACCTGTCTCTCTGTAAGATCTAACGAAGCTGCAATCTCTATCCTTCGCGGTCGACAAAGATACTTATTGAAATGGAACTCCTTTTCCAGCTCGAGAAGTTGTGTATTTGTGTAGGCTGTTCGCAATCTTCTTGGCAGGCCATTTTCTGTAAAATAAAAGTTCATTCTTCTTTAGTTAATATAATTATACTAAATGTAAATTAACATTTTTTTAATTTCGCAATTAATTAAGTTATTTATTCTTATATTTTCGATAAGATATCGCATATTCAAATATTTCACAAATAGTATAAACATTTTTATAACAAAGCACACTGTTTTCTTAACAGTCTATTTTAATTTTTAGTTTTATCTTTCGCACACAATAAAGTTTTTGCGTCGCCGATATTCGCTTCGTCTTTACTACAACAATGCTCTCTTTTTGTCTGTTATAGGAAGTAAATGGTGTTCTAATTAATGATCATTTAAGCAAGCTAGGCTATAGAGAAAGAGAGGGGGGGGCGGGGGTGGAGGATGCAATATGACATCCTTAACAATGCATGAGCGAAGATTCCCGCGCGGCGAAAAGACCCATTCTGATGTTGCTCCGGCGAGTTACTCGGCTCCTTACAAACTTTTGGGCAAGTTCCCCACCGGCACTATTCCATGTCGATGCGAAACACCTCCTAATTGTTATCGGGCAAGAAACTTGTTTCGCGATAACAAGAGGAATGCCACGCAGAATCGGGAAGACGCGGCGAGCGTGAGCGCGCGGGCGATAGCGAGACGATGTAAAGAAGCGTCACGGATTATTCGGGCAGATTTGGTCTAGAAAGTCGCGACCAAGTATCTCACGCTGCTTTGTCGAGGCATGTGGCGTAAGAGTAATTTCCACCCAACTGCCGTAAACAATTATTAATAGCCGCCTATCGTAATTACAGAATTCACTGCGCGCCTCGAGGAGTAATATTTCAATCAAACTTGATGGCTCTCCGCTGACTTGCGCTGTTTACAAGACACGTCTTGACAAATTCTCTAGGAGCAGCGAAAAGTTTGCCATAGATGTTTAGAAAAATTATGTATATGCACATTCCATTTATCCTTGTTCGATAATAACCAGCTAAAGGCATATAAGGTATACCTCAGCGGACATTAACGACGTGAGAAAAATATTTCACGCCAATATTTTATTCCATCGGTCACTGGATCGACCACCTGGATTTCAAGGTTCTTTTTTTTTTTATTAAGGATCAGGGGTGTTACACTTTTTTACGCGTCGCCGTATCACAAGAGAAAAAAAACCGATACGGCGTGACGCAGTTTGGATGAGAGGGAACGGCGAGGGGGTGGTTCGTTTCGTAGGGCCGAGATGCTAAACTACCCCATAGCGTGCGAGCGGATGTAGGGGTGGCCGAGGGGTGGTTCGACAGTAGGATGAGTTGTCAGGGGTTAAAGAAGAGAGAGAAGGAGAATAACCGAACGAAATGGAGAAAAAGAGACATAGGCAAGACGAAAAGTAAAAAGAGCGAGATATAGTGACTGAAAAAGAGTTCGAGAAGGCACGCGATAGTGATGGTCAGAAAGAGGTAGGAAGAATAGAAAAGAGAGAGAGAATACTCAAGAACGAGGGAGGAGGGTGTAGACTGAAGATGTAGTAAGCTTTGAACCTAGCAAATCCTGCACGTGGAGTTTCCATAGGGTGAGGGCGATGGTGGCGAGATGAAAGTATCGCATGATTGACGTGGGCCTCATCAGCATTTCGGTCTTGCGATTGGTTGGACGAAACTGTCGATCAAACTCCACTCCACGCCCTGTATCTGCTCAATCGTTCCAGGAGTTTAATTCAATCCAACGATGAATACAGAGCAATATTGCCGTGGCAAATAACTGCCCGATTTATAATAAATTAAATTGTTTGCATATATTTTGAATTATTGTTGCAATCGATGAAGTTTTAAATATTTTAAGTATTGTTTAAAAAACGAGTCCTGTAGAAGAAAAAACGAATCTTATGGAATGCTAGATATCTTGGCGTTAATCAAATACTAATAATCAAATACTAAACTAAATAATCAAGTACTATTGTTTATGTTTGTGAATAAAATAATGATTCAATGTCACCGCATCTTGTTAATCTAAATTAGCGACAGGCATTACTGCTCTGTGACAATAACGAATTTTTCCGAGACCGGACGAAAATGTCGGCGTTGCTAGCGAGCTCCTGGTTCTTGCGAGACGATGTAGCGGATGACGAACTGTCAAGACATAGTTAAAATGAAGAGCACGACCTGACAGGATCGTGTGTGAGGTGAGAACGATAGAGCACGAAAATAGAGTCCGTATTTTCGTATATCATGCTGTTACTTTCGTCTACCGTTCATCCGGTTGAGGCTGCTGTCGCAAGTATTTTACAAAAGAATAATTAAAAAATTCTTTATGTAAATTTTATTAAAGAACATAAATGATAATTAAAATATTGACTATTATTGTAATGTTTGTTATATTAATATTGATTTTCTTAATGCAAACTTTTTTATAAAATTGATTCTTTTCCATATAATTTAATCAAAGTTTTTAATTTTCGTAATAATACAATTTCGTAAAATCAAATAATTTTCGTAATAAATACAATTTGCATTTATTTTAATGGCAATGAGAAAGTAGCTGTCAATAGAGTAAAAAATCAAAGTGGTAACACAAAACGATACATTAAAATGATGGGCTTGTTATAACGCAATAGTTCGTCAATCGTCGATAGAGCAGATGCTGATGTCCGTGACAAATCTGACAGCCGTCGCTTCGCGCGTTTTCTTCAATATAAGACATTGGTACAAGTTTACACTCGAGAATGTATCCTTTTGATGAAACGTCGCGAATAATGTGATGTTTTTCCGTCGCTTCTTAAGAAACATGTGTTCTCAAAACTCTGATATTTTACTCGAATCGAATTTAAATCAGCATATGAAATATCTTATTAGCGCAAATATGACAGTTATGAGTAATCTATAATAGGAAAGTCTAACGCAATAATTTGTTCGTCTTAATACAATAATGTTTTATCGTTCTCCATTCACTTTTTGCACTTTACTTCCTCGTAACAATACTGATTTTTATATAATATGCCTTGTAGCTTAGCGATGTACGCAGAATATGTAGAGATACACTCGTGATTAATATTTTCAATATAAACGGAAATATTACATATACCGTTGCGTCAGGAACGTTATATAAGTTTTAACGTGACGTTTTCAACGATTCTTTCCGATTCCGTTTCAGCGATTATTATTTTTAGCTTATTTTCAATGATTTATTTTTAGAGAATCGTAACAACGATGAAGCTATCGCTGTTTACTATTAAAGATACACGAAACTTATATGTGCAACTAAAATTTTGGTCATCTATTCAATCTATTCAATATGATATCTTATATTTATGATAAATGCTTTGACTTCTGGAGATATTTCGCACAACATAGATCATTACAAAACAGCAATTACAGAAAATAGAAATAGAAGTGATCCGCACGCGAGCCATTGTTCAATCCTGATCCTCGTGTCTCTTTTATTCTTTCGCTTTTGCTATGCCAGAATGTTTACGGACAGCTGGTGAAACTCTCATGCTCCCTGCTCTCTTAATTTCTATATTGTTCCACCGTACTGATGATTAATTCGTAAACATATTATCATCTAGAATAAGCAATAAAGAAACGTTTCGTAATATGATCATCGAAGACGCGAGAACAAGTGGATCTTTAATTTATAATAGTTACACGCGAGTCGATCGGATCGTGGATTTCCCTCTTCCGTCTGCCTTCGATATGCTCTCATTTCCTTTGGACTGGACCGGGTCGTTTATAGACAGGTGGGAAGGGTCACATGACGGGCGTCTCTGTAATTTGTCTTTTGTTTCCCCCGCGCCTAGAGGAAGAAAACTTGCGAGGAAGAACAAAGGGCGGAAAGAACCACTACTTCGAACGGCGTGAAGAAGAGAACGATTACCCCTCTTCGTTCCGTCCTCAATTTCTTCCTCTCTACTCTCCCCTCCGCCTCTCTCGTTCTTCCCTGCTCTATCTCTCTCTGTCGTTCTTTTAGTATCGAGACGAACCCGCGACGGCGCGGCGGCGGCGGCGTCGGCAGTGTAAACGTATGAAAAATGAGTGACGAGAATTTGAAACAAACGAGAAGACAGCCGGCTCCATGTCTGTGCTTTGACGTGCCCGAAACAGGTAGACGGCGGTCAGTGTGGAAGGTTACTGTGATCGATAACTTTTTGATCGCTTAGGATTTCTTCGGGCGTTTTAAGCTCGCCGAACGTTGCGAATCTGAATTCTGGGGAGTGATCTGCTTTAAAATGCTTGAGCTCTAACGTCTTATTAAATGCAATGTTAAGTCTTAATTTTGAAGCGTCTGACAATTTTATAATGAAACATTAGTTTTTAAAAAATTTTTAATTCTATTTTTTTAAATTCTATTATAAATCGATTTTTAATAGAATTCTTTTCTTAATACTTGTGTAAAAAAACACATTTTTGCAAAAAACTTTTACATTTGATTTATAGAAAATTCAGTTTTCACAAATAGATTAAAGAATCAAAATTTCTGCTTCGTGTATGTTTTTAAGTTAAATCGGCATTGGAAGCGGCACTAATAAAAATCTACATTAATGTCCTGTGCTTGTTCGAAGCAATGGAAGAATTATTCATCGCGTAAGGATAAAGTAGGTATTTAATGCGCCATTGGGTAATTTGTGGCGGATAAGCGAGGGAAGGCCGCGGAAAGTGGAATCGGCATAAACTGTGGCTCATTACAGATTTACACCAAGACGTAGGACGGGAATAGCAAGGGGCAATGAACAAAACTAAACGCACGGGAACAGAATGAAGGGAGTCGAGGTAGAATGGCTGGCAGGAAGGGCTTTCGGCTGCTTTGGTTTTGGTGGGCTGTCGGGGGTTGCGGCCTCTGCGTTGGATACGAGCTATAATCAATTAACAGTGAGCAAAACAAGAACTGCGGCCGACCACCGGCCGCGGCCGCAAAATATTTCGTACCTTCCTGTTACAGTTCGGTCGAAACCCCCATCGCTGCGTTCAAGTGGCCACCTCACTTGCTGATAGGGCTATTGTCCACGGGAATTGATTCCTCGGTTGTACCATTATGCGACGATTTA